TTAAATGTATTGGAATGGTCTCCGAGAGGGACAAATGGTATGTTCAACACAGGTGTCGATCTTTCGAATATAGCAGCGGCAAGAAGTGCTAGGAATCTTTGGGCGCATGCACCGTTGCTGCATATAAGTAATGCTGACAAAGTCAATGCATTTGCATCTTTAACCTCGCTTCTTCAAGACCCAGAATTAAACGGTGACAAAGATGTCCAAGACGCCATAAAAGAGCTTAGTAGTTTGCCCCACACTGGTTTAGCGGTTATTGAAGAAAAAGAATTGGAAGTAATCGCTCAGTTACAACGTGAACTTGGTCAGGATATCAACATTTTGGAAAGTGATATGACTTTTTGGAAGGATCAAGTGGAGGCAACCTTGGAGCAGATTGAAGATCTGAGGAAAAGGTTGGATGAATTTGTAACAAAGAACGAACTACACGACGCTCTGGAAATTGCCAAGAAAGAAATCAAAGAAGAGTTGAAAGTGTACATCAACAGCCGGCTGGAAAAGGCTAAGTCAGAGTCACAGCAAAGGTTTTGTGACGGTAGGTCAGAGCTAAAGTTTAACCCAGTCTCTGATCGAATGAAGGAAGAACTTGTCGGTCGTTAGTGGTTGTTCAGTGACATTCACAACTGGTTAGAAAAAGATCTCGGGCATCGGGAGTCTCGTGCCTTCCTTATATGGGGTGGTGCTGGAACAGGCAAAAGCTCGTTCGCCCAAGAGTTTGTCCGTCGGCACAAGGGAGAAAAATTGGCTGGATACCATTATAATGGTATCCAGCCAATTTTTCTCCCTTGTGCCGTACTGTCAAAAAGATAATCCTCGCACCTGCGATTTGGAATCGTTAGTGTATAGTCTCAGGAGTATGCTCTCGAAGAGTCTTCCCGAATATGCTGCCTTGGTTGAGATACTACAGACTGATAAATTTGGAAATGATCCTAATGAACTGTTCGATTCGTTAATTACCACGCCATTGCAGCAATTGAATGAAAATACCAAACATTTTCTTATCATCGATGGCTTGGATGAAGGAGGTGCCAAGATTGCGTCTTGCATTGCCAGATTATCAGGAACACTTCCATCGTGGCTTCGCGTCATTTTGACTGCAAGACACAATGCTCCCGCTCTATCAGGCCTTTTTTAAATTCCACTTCTGTTAAACTAGACCACTTAGAGGCTAGTCTTGAGTCCCAGTCTAGCAAAGATATTCGTGAATTTGTCTCCATGAAGTACAGAAAACTTCAAACAGACTATAACTGTATTCCTTCGTTCTTTGCTAATGACGCGCAGGTAGGCCAAGAAAAAATAGTTCGGGCTAGTCAGAATTGCTTTCTTTATGCTAAACTTGTGATGGAACACATCTTTGATGGCCATGATGAAATTGGTTTCCCTGCTTCGTTATCTGAGATTTACTGCTTGGACTTCAGGCGTCACTTTCCAGATATAAAATTCTTTGAGAAAAAAATTGCACCTGTGCTTCAGATTGTGCTTGCTATTCAATCTGCTAAGGCTTTTATAGATAAAGAGACACCTATAATAGATATATTAAGTGATCTAATTTCCTTACCTCGTAAAAATAATGATAATTTTAGTATTCAGTTACAGAAGATGCAGCGCAGGGGCGGATCTAGGGGTAGTCAGATTAGTCACGCGACTAACGTAAAAAAAAAGGCATATAAAAAAATTTGGACTAAGGTTTTTGAATTTTTTCCCAGCGCAAACACTTCTCTTCATTTCTGATCACGCAATCAAAACTCTATCATACTCCAGCATATAAACGTCGATCAGTTTTTGCACATTGAGCCAGCGATTGATTAGTCAAACGATAAGTCAAATAAGCGGTATTCAAATGAAAATTGACTATTCTGCGTTTTAATTCATATGATTTGATTGGTCAAATTTGCTCAGATTACACATTACAGGCATGTTGATTGGTCAGATCTATTTTGACTAACGATTGCGAAATTTTGACTATTTTGACTAATTCTGCAAATAGATAGCAGCTTCTGATTGGACAATTTGCGCAAAAGAGTTAAAGAACATCTCCTCTGATTGGCCTTCTAATCTTCAATTTGGAAGCATTGTGCACTTGGTAGCTTTGTTGCAGTTCTGTACAATTTTACAAGGAAATTATTTCGTTTGTATAATTTTATTTACTATTATCGAAATGAACGACGTAGATTTCGAAAAGGTTAGATCGTTATTTGAAAGTGACGATAAGGAATGCTTACCGGCGTTCTGTGGAGAATATTTCAAGCAGATAAATTCGATGGATGCAAGAAAATTGTCTTGGCCGAAACTATCTAGCTGAGATGTGTTGATTTCTCAAATTCTCGTCGTCTATTTCAGGAGATTATAAAGAGGTGTATGGCAATAAGGTAAAGTGGATTGAATTTTGAACAATAAATCGTTGAATTGAACGTACGATTTGCATAATTATGCGAGGTTTATAGGTCCAAAGTTTTATATACTGCATACATATTCATTATGTATATAAAATTAAAACACCTCAAGTGGCAGAAATTTGATCTCAAATATTTGATCATGCATGTTGGATAAAAAATATTTATTGTGCACATGCTTTATAGAGTATTGATTGACTGATAATAGCTCTGCAAATGTACTTTATAAAGATAATAATAATATAATCTTTGGTTATATTTTTAGATCTGATATATGCAACTGGCAATTGCTTGTATAGCTCTGTTTCCTAAGCATTGACAGGTACCAATGACCTAATTTGACCTTGATAGTTTACATGTTTACAGTGCAAGTGTGAAAGGTCTACTTCGGCACAATTGTTATACAGTAGAACACTAAAAGGCTATATGCGAAGCATTATGGTTGAAGACTACTTAAATTAAATGACTTGGCTTGGTCATGATGCAAGTTCATCAGGAAATTATTCCTAACATAGTACTGTAGGAAACATTACAATAGCAATTAATAACCTCATTCTTGTACACAACACTGACAGAAAAAACTTCCTGGGGTTTGGTTCTTCATCATCAACCAAACTTAGCCTTTCAAGATCACCACCTTCCCAAATCCCCCCCACCCCCACCCCAAACATTATTCAGGCTTTGTAGACAAAAGCTGATCCCAAATATCGGGTCTGATCTCATTGGCTTGAGACAGCTAGGTCCATTGCATGTTGAACCAGTTAAATTTTTCAACAGACCAGGGCTTGAAATAACAACTGATCATCAATCAATAATAGGCAGGAAATTGCTTATGATCGGCGGAAAAGCATGGTTTGCAACCTGAAAAAGCAGGGAAAGTCATGACTGCCGATCACCATGATCGGGAACTTTGGGAACATTATTTCAGGCCCTGACAGACAAACTCCATGTTGATAGTATGTGACTGTCTAGTGAGTATATAATACAGTATGTATAAGCGTAGTATAGGAATAATACAATACTGTGTTAAAAACCTTGCCAATTTAATATTTCAGATAACTAGATAAGTAAAGTAATAGTCATTTGTAATGAAATATTTTGTATTTGAATCGACTGTGATTAAAATATGTTTGAAATGCCAGGTAAAATAAACTTGTTTTTAATAAAAGTTGGCTTCCACTGAAGCTACAGCTTTGAGGCACCATTTCACTTGCGATATTATACATTTTCATAGCTGGACAGATATATAACAAGATGATGAATTTAATTAGATTAGACATAGCTAGGTTAGTAATAGGACTGGGGAAGGGGCTAAAGGGAAAAACCAGGCAATTTCACATCCATAAAATGTCCCGTATTGTCATCCATTTTTAACCAAGCTCCTTTTGCTGCGGTGAAAGGTGTGAGGTGGGTTTATGGCACCTTAAAACCAGATTGCTAATTTTAGGTGGTATTCATTGTTCATTTTATTGTCACCCATTTCTAAGTTCTAGCCAAACTCCTTTTGCTCTTGCAAAAGGTGTGAAGGCAAGCAATCTGGTTTTAAGGAGCCAGAAACCTGTGCTTGTGTTCAGCTTTTTCAAGAAGCTGTCCTTGTTGGATCACGGTTTACTATTTTTGGTAAACGTGTTTCCTATAGGCATGCTGATGAACCGAGGTATACACTGTAGGGCGAAACAGTCTATATATTAATATATCATATGCTGAACATTGGCAGGTACGAAAATTATGTCATTTACGCATTTGTAGTTTGATAAAACAAAATATCTATACTTCCACAAAAATTGGACTATCATCCTGACATCAAATGACGTCATGTCAAATGACGTCATCACGTTTTGCGTCATCGATGACGTCATACAATTTTGACTAACGTGCGAAAAATCCTAGATCCGCCCCTGATGCAGCGGGCTTATGAGGAGAGCGATGAAAGTGTTACAGGGGTTGTGAAGTGTGGTTTTCTGCCTGAAATTAAGATGCATGATCTCAATAAAGTCCTCGAACTTCTATCAGGCTACTTAGTAAAGGATGGTTCTGGTAAATATTATTTCAGCCATAGTTCTGTAAGAGATTGGTTGCAAGACGAAGAGTCACATTTCTTTTGTGATGTACTCAACGGGCATTCCATTATGGCAAACTATAACTTGAAAACTCTTAAAGTTAAGTATCCTTTATCAGAGAATTTTGTTGAATATTTAAGTTTTCATTGGGAACAGTCATATCCTATTGCTTTTCTAGACCTCAAATTATTTTCTTTGCGTTATCTCTTTCATTCCAGTGAGAGCGGGAGTTCAAACGTGAATGTTCTGATATCTGAATTAGGTATTAAAGCAATCGACCTTCTTCATGTCGCATTTCGCTATAATGCTGACGGTGTCCCTAGATTAATTAAGTCCAAATATATGGCAATGAAGGTTCTCGATGAAACAGATGTCTTGAATGAAATGACCACAAAGGAAAAAGCCGAATATCTTGAGGTGGCTATTATGTCACAGTCTGCAAAGATCGTTGCGAAGTTCTTGAATAGCGCATATTGGATTTTTAGTGATAGTGTCATTCTTGGCTTGACATGGGACAACACCGCACTACAGCTCGTTCCGAATGAAGCAACGCCCCAGTTATTCTTTTCGTCTCTCGGACATGGTACCTTTCGCGATAAGATACTTGAATTTTGTGTAAAAAAGGGATTGACGGCGGATGTATGTGTTCCTCAATTCTTTAAGAACACCAAGGGCTTCGACTCGTCCATCTGCTGGAACGAAGATGTCCAAGAGTATTTTACAAAACTGAAATCAGGAGAAAAGAATGTTATCACTTTGGAGTCCCTAAAAGAGAAGCCATTTTATCCAGAAGAAGCTAAAGTGTCGGAATTTACACTGGAGATAATTCAGAAACCTCTTTCAGGTATTGATTACAAATATTCTTGTAAATATGTAGGAGTGCATGGTGACAAAATTATTCTTTGATATAAAGTTGGTTAAGCATAATCTTCATTAAGCATAATCATCACCATTTTTATGAGGAAACTTCATGTTATATACAGTCATTGTACTAGTTCATGGGGGGTATCACGTGGTTAATCTCAATATGAAATTGCAAAGATTTTCTTGGGGTACTGTCTAGCTGAAATTGAACAAGGAGCACACGATATTCGATAAATCTTCAGTCAATTTAATTATTAAGTTTAAGTTCCAGGACACAGAAGTCTTTAACAAATTGACCATTGGCAACAGTTCCGTCAAAAACTAGCTCATGCACGAAATCTGAACACGATGAACACCAGCGATTCTCTGCATATATCCGGCGTGATAAAAGACTTGAACTGGTACAATAACTGTATATAACATGAAGTTTCCTCCGAAAAATTTCAGGAATGTTAATAGGAAATGTTCATGTTTGAACGTAAAATACAAAGAAATTGCAGGTTTTTACGAGTGACAATAAGTTAATACATACTCAGCGTTTAAAAATCTATTACGTACACCTCCCTATGCATACCTCCGAGAAAATGCACACTAGAGAGTTTGGCAAATACAATTCCAACGGCAACGAGAACGTGCTCATCAACAATAGCATCTTTACTCTAAGACGAAGGCGACTATAATTTGCATTCCCTTAAGCATTCTAGTACGCCGTAGTTGTTCAAACTGCTACGTTATTTACATATTTTCAAGGCTCATGACCGCACCAACAGGGTAAAACCTTAAGTCCTTTGTGGTCTTTTATATGAATTCACTATTAGTCTTCATATATTGCTACATGGTCTTCGGGGAGTTTCAGGGTTGTTTAAAAGAAAGATAACTACTTTTAAAAGTTTAGTAAATGTATGCTTTCGCTCAAATACAAAAATATAAGTAATTTTGTTTTCTGCCGTCGCCGTTATTGGTTGCCAAACTCACTACGGAGACTTCCGGTGGGGGGAGTATCTCGTCCCGCGGGTATCCCGTGGAGGTAGGGGTGAAGAATATAAATGTTCACAGGCGAGGGCTTTAGGCCTTATAAGATGGCGATCGGAGTCTCGTAGAAGAGGAAAAACATGGGCCCATGCACTTGCACTCCAATTGGTTTTTTCTTACATATTTAATCAGAGATTGCGTTGCAAGTTGGAAGAAAATATGCTTGGTTTAATTAACACTGTAACATCGCCTTTAATAGCCCTAGTGAACATGTTCTATCGCTTAGTGAATGCCTTTCAAATGTCGACATTTGTGAAATTTTGATAACGTGTTCGTGTGCAATATAACGCCCGGATTGGGGAATGACAGCTTAGGAATAAAAAAACACGTAAATCTCCGGGAGGATGGCAACAGGAAGAATTTATTTCTACTGTGTACGCCTTTCTAAACGGCCACCTCTTTAATATCCACGCCTTTCTAACCATGCGGACACCTTTCTAATGTACTGTCCACATTAATCCCTTTTCGTTTGAAAACGCATACTTTCGTACGCGTTTTCACCGATGGTCCACACTAATACGATGGAAAACCGATATCTTCATCAATATCGCCAATAAAATCCGAACTTTTCGAATATGGCTTTGATAAAATGTGGAGAGGTTTGAAAACGGGAGCGTATTGGGTTAGTGTGGACTTAATTTCAGATGAACTTCTTGTCTCGCACTGGATATGTTGATGATTAGTCTGCAAATGCTCTAGACTATGTCCTAGGTTACCAGTTAATTTACCTCTAAGATTGTTAAGCTATGCTATATAGAAGCTCTATACAGGGTGTATAAAAGAAAACTGAACAGATTTGAAATTGCTCTCAATTTCGCAAAACACCTATTTGTATCTGTTTCTTTATATATATAGCTTCTTTGGGTACTTATAATGTAAAATAATGAAAAAAATTTCTCGAACTCAAATTTTGTGAACCAGGGGGGGGTGTCTTTTCCAACAAATTAAAAATGGCTCGCGCACAAAATTTAAAAGCTGTAATCATATTTTGAGTTAATAGATTGAAAATTTGTCTGGTTTTTAATTACTGTACAAAATTTCAGACAATTTGGTTTACTTTAAGCCCTTTAACTATTTATTTTGTTCTAAAAAGTCAGCCTTTTGCATGCTTAATTAATGCCTTTACCTAATTTACATATTGCTGACATATGCAAATTAGGCAAATGCATTAATTAAGCATGCAAATAGCTGATTTTTCGGGAAAATTGTAACTTTGCGTGAATAGTTAAGGGGCTTAAACTAAACCAAATTGTCTGAAATTTTGTACAGTAATTAAAACCCCGACAAATGTTCCATCTGTTAACTCAAAATATGATTGCAGCTTTTAAATTTTGTGCGCGAGCCATTTTTAGTTTGTTGGAAAAGACACACACCCCTGGTTCACAAAATTTGAGTTCGAGAAATTTTTCTCATTATTCTACATTATAAGTACCCAACGAGGCTATATATATAAAAAACCGGATACAAATAGGTGTTTTGCGAAATTGAGAGCAATTTTAAATCTGTTCAGTTTTTTTTTATACACCCTGTATTATCGGTGACGTTTTTAGATCAAACCTCGGCTCGGTGAATTTGCCTCTTTCTCCGTTAAATATTTTCTGGTTTCTCGTAAGATTTTGCATGAATAACGATAAAATGAATTATAAATAAAGATTGAAAATAATAAAAATGTATCGTTTCCTAAGTGCTGGTGTAAACACTTGTCGTCACAATAATGCGGACACTCTCCTATATAATGTACCGTCCACAAGCATTAATCCGTTTTTGTTTGAAAACGCATACTTTTGTACTTTCACCAATCGTCCACACTAATACGATGGAAAACGGATGTCTTCATCAATGAAAACGGAGCTTTTCGAAAACGGCTTTGAAAGTGGAGACTTTTATAAACGGAGGCGTATTGGATTACGGTGTGGACGGGCGAAAACGAATGTTTTCAAAAACGCGAACGCTGTGAACACAATCATGCGTGGCGAGTGTGTTGTTTTTGTTTTAACAACTTTGTTGAACAATGTTCAAGCGGCAAGAGGGCCGGCGAATGGGACTCTAAGACCCATGCGAAGTTTTTCCGAATTTCAGATGAATTGCTTGTCTTGCACTGGATATAATAATGATTAATCTGCAAGCATAACTTGCAAAGACAACATAATGCTGCACACTATGTCCTAGGTTATTAGTTAATTTATTTCTGAGATTGTAAAGCCACTATAGAAGCTCCATTATCGGCGAAGTGTTTACTTCCAACCTCGGTGAATCCGCCTCTTTCTCCGTAAAAAATGTTCCTGCATGGACTTCTTGTAAGATTATTGCATGAATAATGGTAAAAAGAATAAATAAAGATCTATAATAATAAAAAATTATCGCTTTCTAAGTGCTAGTGTGGTAAAAAACGCTCCGAAAACCAAGTGTGGACGCAGATATTTGTATGCGTTTTCGAAGTATCAAATTAAAAACGAAGGGATTTGAAACGGATTAGTGTGAACGTAGCCCATACCTTCCTAATACGGATGCCTCTCTAATATGAATACCTCCCTAACAGAGACACCTCCCTAATACGAACAGTTCTCTCATACAGACACTCTCTGATAGTGTTAATGTGTATGTATATAATACGCTTTATTCTTATTTGTTCAGAAATTGAACGCCTTCTGAGAGATGGAAAGATTTATGCGGAGTTCAAGTATGCCTGGCACTCGGTTTTATCACGTAAGAGTCTAATTATAAGACATGCAGCGGCAGTAAAAATGGTAGACGACTGTTTAAAACATGGAGCAAACTCAAACAACAGAGGAGGTCCTGGGGTAACTGCCCTAATGCTAACGCGTGAGAAGTTAAATGATCTTTTTGGGGATTCACCTGCGGTGGAACAGGTGGTGTCGTTACTCTTGGATCACGGAGCTGAAGTGAATCAACAGGATTTTTATGGACGTACTGCGCTTCACTATGCATTTAAATGCGTAGATGACACTGACCCTTTTCTTGAAGAAAAGCTTGTTCGAAAACAGCGTGTTGTTAAAATCCTTATCCAGCACAACGCAAACATTTATCTAAAAGATTCGTCTGGGCTTTCTGCCATTAATATGGCTAAGCGTGAGAGACATGAATCTTGGTTAAAAACCGACGAAGCATCATTGACAGGGACACGCTCAAAGAAAAGTTAGAGATCGTGCTCCGAAGAAAACTAAAGCCAGTTTCAATCTAGACTAGTCCCTTATTCAAAAGAAAGCGAGACTCGTACGAGAAACTCTTTGTCTTTGGAAAACTTACATCTGATACAAATCTTAAACTTTCTCTATTACTTCACGTATGAACTTTCAATTACGTACACCAGTCGTTAAATTTAAAAGACTTTCTATACCATCCATGCTATACCGTACTTATCGTCGTAATCAAGACAATTGTTGTATGTAACTGATAGCAAACATATCAGTAATTTTACTTATGTGTAGGTTATAGTATGGTTTTGAGTGTAACTTGAAGTCTTTTGAAAAACTCACAAGTGTTTGTTTTTCCAAACGAGAAACCATACTATTAATGATTAAATCATAATATACATGAAAAATTATGCACAAGTAAATTCATGGTAACTTGCATGCATGAAACATGTGATTTACTCATTTGAATGACGCAACACCGAATTCCGCTATACAAGTTTTCAACCGTTGCATATTAGGCCAAGAGAGACAGACGTTGAACTACACTGGAAATTTCAAGGAATTGAATCAACTTATTCCAAGGAATTGAATCAACCGTTTTTGGTGACCACTTTTCCAGTTGATTCAGAACCTTGAAATTTACAGTGTAGTAATACAATTAAGTAACAATATATATATAGCATTTGTATATTAGGCCAAGAGTCACAGACATTGAACTGCCAATCATGACCTTTCCCCTTTTGAGTGAAATTTTGATCGAGACAAGTCTGGACACAAATTTCATCACAGCTTGAAAGAGCATCACAAAATTAGTAATATTCCGAAGTTTCGTTGCGAAATGTTGTAAAATGCGGATAATATAGCCTTGCGAAGTTAGCCGTTTTTCACTGGCCATTATTTTTGCATTACAAACGGGAAATTGATAATCAGATGATCAAACTGATTATCAATTTCCCATTTGGCATTTGTAAGACAAAATGACTGAAAAACGGCAAACTTCGCATGCCGGCTTATATTATCCTCATTTTACAACATTTTGCAACGAAACTTCGCGGAATATTACTAATTTTGTGATGCTCTTTCAAGCTGTGATGAAATTTTCGTCTAGACTTGTCTAGATCAAAATTTCACTCATAAGGGGAAAAGTCTATTAAGTAACCATGCATATTATTAATAGCATTTGTATATTAGACCAAGAGTAACAGACGTTGAACTGGCAATACTTATTAGTAACAATGTATATAATATAGCATTTGTATATATTAGGCCAAGAGTGACAGCCGTTGAACTGGTAATAGTTATACAATTAAGTAACAATATATAATAACATTTGACATTTGTATATTCATAAATTTCATGTAGTTTTAAAAGCAGTCACTGTCAAAATTTTGAGATGTGTTTAATATTTGTCCATTAAATTAAAAAACACTGAAAATATCACTACAGTGGAGGCAATTCTGTTCTGTAGACCACGATGTATATTTATAATGGTCTAATGAAAGAACCCATTTGGTAGTCAACGAACCCAGATGTCATTTCCCATACTGGATTCCAGACTACCATTTGGCTGCACAGTAGTAATAAATTCAAATAATACTGTAATTTATACTATATAAATAATTATAGTTTTTTTCTGAAACTATAAATACATCTCATTTCAAACTTTTATCTTTGAAAAAAGATAAAAATAATAATTTATTTCTATAACTTATGTATCTTGCTTAGAATAGATACATACATTTAGTGGCTGTTGAGTTCATTTGTGGGTGATTAATATACCGTACATGTATAAATTGACAAATTATTTTATTTAATATATTTCCCGACCCCTGTGAACTGTCTATCAGGCAAATTCCCAAGGGTGTTCTGGGTGGGGGATGGTTATTCCAGGAATTGACTCATGCATAAAACTATGAAGCTAAGTAACAGATGAGCGAGTTTTCATGACAACTTTTCATATGGCAAGTTTTATTCCAAGTATACACAGAGGCATAGCCAGGGCTGGGGCCGGGGGCCCGACCTCCCCCCTGGCAAAATTTTTGCCCACCCTTATAAAATGTATTGTATAAAAAACGGAATCCTTGATTATATTGCTTCATACTGTCAATAATGCAAACATTGTGTAGAATATATACTTTGCTGAGCTTCAGTGTGAAACCTAAAATCTTGTTCGCTTATTTGCGGCACACAGCTTGAAACACATACTTTTTCTAACCCTAATATGCATTAAATGAGGGTTAGATGAAGTTTAAACCAATCCGTTTTTTTTACGAGTGAATTTTCAATTGCAAATCTTTCAAATCTCAATAGCTGGTTCCCCTTATTACATATTCTGAATACAACTACCATGATACTTTGCGGGTATTTTCTTCATTATGCAATAACATGTCCGAAAAGCATGCTGGTAGTTGTATTCAGAATACGCGAGAAGGGGAACCAGCTATTGCAAATTAAATCTCTACGCAACTTTGCGTCTCGAGTGACTGGCGGCTTGACCCCACCTAGGTTTTTGCTGGCCCCCCTAACTAAAAATCCTGGCTACGCCTCTGAGTATACACTTGTTTAAAAGGTAGTGTAACATGCTAGCTTTTGAACAAGTGTGCTTGTCTTCGAAAAAAATGGCAAAGCCAAATAAAGAAATTTGACAAAGCAATTTGAGTCCTTGGACACAATTGGTTAACTATGTATTGTTGTTGATAGCTGTCTGGAGGCAAGAAATTCAAAGACTGTCAAGACTTGTCACAGAAAATTTGTTGTACATAAGAAAAACTCGGCAAAGTTGATCGTACTAAGATTACTTGTCGAGGGTGGGAAAGGGGGGGGTATGAATCACGTTTCACAACGAAAAAAAAGCCGTTTCACGATTCACGTGTCTTAAAAAGCAATTTCACGGAAAACTAGATTCTAATAAAATAATATAATAATAACAGGTTTATTATGAGTACGTTTAATGCATGGTACAGTATCTACGCTTTAAGTTCTCTCACTTCTCTACTTGTCCGTTAAAAACTACATCATAACTTACAAGTTTGAGTAACGAGCATGTCCGATCATCCACCTCCGCGCGTCTGAGGAACCTTGTCCTCAACGTCAGGAATCTTGTCCCCAGCGTCAGGAACATTGTCCTCAGCGTTAGGAACCTTGTCCTCAGCGTCAGGACCTTGTCCTCAGCGTCAGGAACCTTGTCCTCAGCGTCAGGAACCTTGTCCTCAGCGTCAGGAACCTTGTCTTCAGCGTCAGGAACCTTGTCCTCAGCGTTAAGAACCTTGTCCTCAGCGTCGGAAACATTGTCCTCAGCGTCAGGAACCTTGTCTCCAGCAACAGCAACCTTGTCTTCAGCGTCAGCAACCTTGTCTTCAGCGTCAGGAACCATGTCCTCAGCGTCAGGAACCTTGTCCTCAGCGTCAGGAACCTGGTCCTCAGCGTAAGGAACCTTTTCCTCAGCGTCAGAAACATTGTCCTCAGCGTTAGGAACCTTGTCCCCAGCGTTAGGAACCTTGTCCTCAGCATTTGGAACCTTGTCCTCAGCGTTTGGAACCTTGTCCTCAGCGTCAGGAACCTTGTCTTCCACGTCAGGCACCTTGTCTTCAGCGTCAGGAACCTTGTCTTCAGCGTTAGGAACCTTGTCTTCAGCGTTAGGAACCTTGTCTTCAGCGTTAGGAACCTTGTCCTCAGGTTCAGGAATCTTGTCGTCAGCATCAGGAACCTTGTCCTCACCGTCAGGAACATTGTCCTCAGCGTCAGGAACCTTGTCCTCACCCTTAGGAACCTTGTCCTCAGCGTCAGGAACCTTGTCCTCAGCGTTGGGAACCTTGTCCTTAGCGTCAAGAACCTTATCCTCAGCGTCAGAAGTCTTGTCCTCAGCGTTGGGAACCTTGTCCTCAGCGTCAGGAACCTTGTCCTCAGCGTCAGGAACCTTGTCCTCAGCGTCACGGACCTTGTCTTCAGCGTGAGGAACCTTGTCTTCAGCTTGAGGAACCTTGTCCTCAGCGCGAGAAACCTTCACCTCAGCGTTAGGAACCTTGTCCTCAGGGTCAGGAACCGTGTCCCCAGCATTAGGAACCTTGTCCTCAGCGTCAGGAACTTTGTCCTCAGCGTCAGGAACCTTGTTCTTAGCGTCAGGAACCTTGTCTTCAGCGTCAGGAACCTTCTCCTCAGCGTCAGAAACCTTGTCCTCAGCGTTGGGAACCTTGTCCTCAGCGTCAGGAACCTTGTCCTGAGCGTTAGTATCCTTGTCCTCAGCGTCAGGAACCTTCTCCTCAGCGTCAGGAACCTTGTCCTCAGCGTCCGGAACCTTGTCCTCAGCGTCAGGAACCTTGTCCTCAGCGTCAGGAACCTTGTCCTCAGCGTCAGAAATCTTGTCCTCAACTTGGGAACCTTGTCCTCACCGTCAGGAACCTTGTCCTCAGCGCCAGGAACCTTGTCCTCAGCGTCAGGAACCTTGTCTTCAGCGTCAGGAACCTTGTCCTCAGCGTCAGGAACCTTGTCCTCAGCGTCAGGAACCTTGTCCTCAGCGTCAGGAACCTTGTCCTCAGCGTCAGGAAGCTTGTCCTCAGCGTCAGGAACCTTGTCCTCAGCGCCTGGAACCTTGTCGTCAGAGTCAGGAACCTTGTCCTCAGCGTCAGGAACCTTGTCCTCAGCGTCAGGGACCTTGTCTTCAGTGTGAGGAACCTTGTCTTCAGCTTGAGGAACCTTGTCCTCAGCGTGAGGAACCTTCACCTCAGCGTTAGGAGCCTTGTTCTCAGCGTCTGGAACCGTGTCCCCAGCCTTAGGAACCTTGTCCACAGCGTCAGGAACTTTGTCCTCAGCGTCAGGAACCTTGTTGTCAGCGTCAGGAACCTTGTCTTCAGCGTCAGGAACCTTCCCTCAGCGTCAGAAACCTTGTCCTCAGCGTTGGGAACCTTGTCCTCAGCGTCAGGAACCTTGTCCTGAGCGTTAGTATCCTTGTCGTCAGCGTCAGGAACTTTGTCCTCAGCGTCAGAAACCTTGTCCTCAGCGTCCGGAACCTTGTCCTCAGCGTCAGGAACCTTGTCCTCAGCGTCAGGAACCTTGTCCTTAGCGTCAGGGACCTTGTCTTCAGTGTGAGGAACCTTGTCTTCAGCTTGAGGAACCTTGACCTCAGCGTGAGGAACCTTCACCTCAGCGTTAGGAGCCTTGTCCTCAGCGTCTGGAACCGTGTCCCCAGCCTTAGGAACCTTGTCCACAGCGTCAGGAACTTTGTCCTCAGCGTCAGGAACCTTGTCTTCTGCGTCAGGAACCTTCTCCTCAGCGTCAGAAACCTTGTCCTCAGCGTTGGGAACCTTGTCCTCAGCGTCAGGAAACTTGTCTTCAGCGTCAGGAACCTTGTCCTCAGCGTCAGGAACCTTCTCCTCAGCGCCAGGAACCTTGTCCTCAACGTCAGGAACCTTGTCTTCAGCGTCAGGAACCTTGTCCTGAGCGTCAGGAACCTTGTCTTCAGCGTCAGGAACCTTGTCCTCAGCGTCAGGAACCTTGTCCTCAGCACCAGGAACCTTGTCGTCAGCGTCAGGAACCTTGTCCTCAGCGTCAGGAACCTTGTCTTCAGCGTCAGGAACCTTGTCCTGAGCGTCAGGAACCTTGTCCTCAGCGTTAGTATCCTTGTCCTCAGTGTCAGGAACCTTGTCCTCAGCGTCAGGAACCTTGCCCTCAGCGTTAGGAACCTGGTCCTCAACGTCAGGAACCTTGTCTTCAGCGTCAGGAACCTTGTCTTCAGCGTGAGGAACCTTGTCCACAGCGTGACGAACCTTGTCCTCAGCGTGAGGAACCTTCACCTCAGCGTTGGGAACCTTGTCCTCAGCGTCAAGAACTTTGTCCTCAGCGTCAGCAACCTTGTCCTCAGCGTCAGGAACCTTGTCCTCAGCATCAGGAACCTTGTCCTCAGCGTCAGGAACATTGTCCTCAGCGTCAAGAACCTTGTCCTCAGCGTCAGGAACCTTGTCTTCAGCGTCGGGAACCTTCTCCTCAGCGTCAGAAACCTTGTCCTCAGCGTTGGGAACCTTGTCCTCAGCGTCAGCAACCTTGTC